GTTATGTAGCAGAAAGGCCTAGAACCAAAGGTTATGTAGCAGAAAGGCCTAGAACCAAAGGTTATGTAGCAGAAAGGCCTAGAACCAAAAGTTATGTAGCAGAAAGGCCTAGAACCAAAAGTTATGTAGCAGAAAGGCCTAGAACCAAAAGTTATGTAGCAGAAAGGCCTAGAACCAAAAGTTATGTAGCAGAAAGGCCTAGAACCAAAAGTTATGTAGCGGAAAGGCCTAGAACCAAAAGTTATGTAGCAGAAAGGCCTAGAACCAAAAGTTATGTAGCAGAAAGGCCTAGAACCAAAAGTTATGTAGCAGAAAGGCCTAGAACCAAAAGTTATGTAGCAGAAAGGCCTAGAACCAAAAGTTATGTAGCAGAAAGGCCTAGAACCAAAAGTTATGTAGCAGAAAGGCCTAGAACCAAAAGTTATGTAGCAGAAAGGCCTAGAACCAAAGGTTATGTAGCAGAAAGGCCTAGAACCAAAGGTTATGTAGCAGAAAGGCCTAGAACCAAAAGTTATGTAGCAGAAAGGCCTAGAACCAAAAGTTATGTAGCAGAAAGGCCTAGAACCAAAAGTTATGTAGCAGAAAGGCCTAGAACCAAAAGTTATGTAGCAGAAAGGCCTAGAACCAAAAGTTATGTAGCAGAAAGGCCTAGAACCAAAAGTTATGTAGCAGAAAGGCCTAGAACCAAAAGTTATGTAGCAGAAAGGCCTAGAACCAAAAGTTATGTAGCAGAAAGGCCTAGAACCAAAAGTTATGTAGCAGAAAGGCCTAGAACCAAAAGTTATGTAGCAGAAAGGCCTAGAACCAAAAGTTATGTAGCAGAAAGGCCTAGACATGAATGAAATCCAAGCTGCCGAAGCTCGCTTCCCCGAGGCGGCAGACGGCCGGAGAGCGGTGTGCCGGCGCAGCGGCGCTTCGCCTTCTACGAGCAAGGCGCTTGGGTGAAGGATATTAGGTGGGTACTGCAGTGTTTAGTGTTTGGTTTTGTGATGGGGAGTTTTGTTGCTTTTAACTGCTTTTGGGTTGTGACCTGGCGTGTTTATCCTTGTTTTGGAAGTGGTTCTTGGTGAGTGCTGTGAGTTTAAGTCACTACACTAAAAATAGTGATATGTAATAATTCATGGTTTGTTGTTTGCTTGCCAAACCTGAGTGAGTTGGGAGGTTTGAGCAGTTTCTGATGACTATGGGACGATTCCTACCCAAAGTCCTGAGAAACTGCGACATTTTATGTTTTGCAACCAACCGTTTGATGCCGCACTTCGGGAGTTTTAGCACCCGAAGACATGTCCTTCCTAGACTAAACTCACCAACCGCAGCCTTCGCAGCCCTGTGAGGTGCCACTGGGACATCCACAAGCTGGACTCAGCCGCCCCGGAGCTCACTGATGGGTCCATGGCAAGTCTTGAGTTTTGTTGAACGAATGTTCCGATGTTCTGACCCATAGGTGTTTCAGTTTGGTTTGCCCACCACGAATCATTAAGATGTTTGTTGGTGTCTCCCCCAACGAAAACCCTCCAGGCTAGCCAAGGCTAGCTGGGTCAATGGTCTTTTCAGCTGAGGTCCAGGGCGCTTGTCGCATGCGCGGCAGTCGAGGCCACTGACTTGACATCAAAAACGGTGTGACCAAAGAGCTCTCTTGCTTTCAAGGGCCAAGGGGTGCATTATGGCTGTGTTTGACCCCAAAACGAAAAGCAAAGAGAACGAGTCTTTTCATGCAAAGAGTGTTTTGTTTCTCTCCAAACAGCCACAAATTAGTGAATCGCTGTGAGTGGTCTTCCTAAGTGCTCCCTGGGGTGAAAGGGTCGGTGCGTTGGTCTGTGCGAACGAGGATAGCGGATTTGTCACGATCCCAGAAGTGGTGGAGTTGATTAGCCACTTCGGAGATCAGATCAGATGGTTTTTCAATGTTTGTCATGTTTTTCCTTTCCGTTGCATCAATTGGATTTAATCTGGGTTTTTGGGGCTGGTTGGAGTAGTTGGTTGTACCAATTTTTGCCGTTTGATCATAGTGGTTTGCCCGCTGTTTCTTGGTTGCAAGAGTTGTTTTACCAGCTTTGTTTGCTGCTCATAGTCGTTTCTTGGTTTGAAGAGTTGTTTTGCCTGCTGTTTCGTTTGCTCATAGTGTTTTTACCCTTTTTTTGTTGCTTTCGACCATTGTTTTCCCAAGCTGTTTATCATTGAGGTTTTTACCAAGGATGTTTTCGTTGGTGCCATACATTTCCTTTGCCCTTGCCCAGCAAAACCTAAAAATCTGGGGCTCTGGCTGTGCCTTCGCCCCAGGCCGCGACTTAGCCTTGGCCGGCGAAGAGAAGTTGACGGCAGGAGCCGACGGCAGCGGAGGGATCAGTTGCGAACAAGGAAGGCGGGGAAGCGGTGGTCTTTTTCCTGGGCCGAGAAGAAGCTTTAACGCACAATGCACATGTTCTTTAACAAATGTCATGTTCTCAAGTATTTTGTGTATATATGTTGTTTTTTGTCAATCAAGCAAGCACTTTTCATCACATGGTGTCACGTACTCTCGGTACTCGGTAACGGTGCACGTTTTTGATGGGTGGGGGGGGGGGGGGGGGGGGGGGGGGGGGGGGGGGGGGGGGCTGATAACGTTCAAGTATAAGTATACTTCTACAGACACGTCATGCTACGCTACTGCACGTTCCTCTTGCACTTGCATACACACGTCATGCTACGCTACTGCGCGTTCCTCTTGCAAAGTCCGAATGGACAAAGAAATGCAAAGTCAAAGGCAAAGCCAAATTGGCTGGCACACAAGTCCTGGATAGGTCTTGGATGTGGCTGAAAAAATTCGTGCCACATGCCTTGAAAAACAGAAATGACAAAGTCATTAATCCCCGTTTGTGGGAATACATATACCAGTTCGTGTACCGACATAACCAGAAAGACTAGAAAACCAAGCTGCTCCGGATGAAAAAGAAAGTTTTTCGTACTTTTGCACTTCGGGGCCTGGAATGATGATACACACAAAACACTGTAAATACCAGGTCAAATGCTCAATTTTGATCGATTTTTCCCGAGTACTGAGCATACGTGTTACCTTGTTTTTTGTCAATCAAGCAAGCGCTTTTCATCACATGGCAAAGCACCATATAAGCCCATCATCCTATCAAAACATCCCAAGAAACACTTAGAAACCCACAGCCACAAATCGCCTAAGCATGTGCACCTCTAAACTCTAAACCACCTTCACAAAGAACATAATCTGCCGCAAACTGCTGCGTTTGGCTGCAGGTTGCTGGCAGCATCCGCACGGAGCAAATCCAGTTCGCCATGCAGCTGCAGAATCTGGGGAACGTTTGGCTCGGACGCCAAGGAATGCCAGTTGAGGTGTTTCTGGGAGAGTTTGTTTGGGGATGTTGGCATTCTGGGATTGTGGCTTTTGTATGCTTTTGTGGTGTTTGAGGCTTTGGGCTCTTTTTATGTCTCGCCGTTTTGGATCGTTTTCGAAGTGTTTTGAACTCTTCAAAGAAGTTGTTTTTTCCGCGGAAATCTTTTGGATGCCAATTGGCTCTCCGTGTCGGCTTTTCGCTCTCCGCTTCGAGGTGCCGGAACGCCTTCAAGACGGTGGAGGGCTTCGAGACCAGTGAAGGCCGGCGGCCGTCGGAAGGAGTCCTTTGCTGTTGATGGTTTTTATCAAAAGGATCTTCTCATGTTTTTGTCCAAGAGAATGAAGATGCTCAAGGTCGAGCTATTTAACAGCTCAAGTGCACTTTTTGAATAAGACCAGTAAAAACACCAGCTCGGTGTGTTTTTGGGCCTTTCACTTTTGGCACGGCTTAGATGTATACATTAGGTAGATGATAAAAAAACATGAAAAAAATTCAAGCGGTGCTGTCGATGACTGTAGCCCTTTCTGAATCAATTTTTGTTCCAGGCAAAGGATGGGAAAAAAGTCGATTGCTTCTTTGGGGGGTGGTTTGACCATCTTTCCGCTGAGGTCAGAATTTGTTTCCAGGCCAGCAAGCTGTCGCAAGGCTCGGCATGGGATGTCCATGGAAACGCCGCTTAAACTTGGGGGCAAAAAACTACTATTGAGACATCTATAGATTATAGATGCATCAGAATATCGAATAGGATATTCCAGGAGGTAGGACAGATGTCTTCGTCTTCCTTTGTGAAAAGGATTGGGTTTGTCAGAATAGTCGTTTCCCTGCGACCCGACCATCCCAAAATAATGCAATAATCATGTTTCAGAAGGAAAAAGAAACAGCAAAAGCCACAACGTTTTTCTCAGAGTGTGTTGATTGCGACCACAAACAGGAATCTTCCATGGATCAATGAATCAGATGTTGGGCGGATTCTCCAACTACATGAGATGTAGCAGCAGGCGTTTACATAGACAGCGGGCGCGAAGCCTCCTCCGTCCGTACAGTGCTCCTATTTGGAGTGAACAAATAGAAAAAGGGTCGCACTTGTTGAGTTAGGTGGCTGCAAATGATTGAGCTTCTGTTGAAGCCATGATTGAACTTTGTGGCAATTGAAAACTGTTGAAATCATGCTTTATTGTTCCTCGGAAACCTTTCTGTCTTAGACCTTGAGCAGAGAAACCCTGCATGGAAAGCCTTTCACCTGGTGACACCTGGCCGGGCCATTTGGCTCTTGAGATTGGCGGCGTGAGCTCAAGAGGCCCGGGGGCCGGACGGGTTTGGATGAGGCTTATGCACAAGCTCGCTAGGTTTGATTTTGACGTCTTTGTGAAATGATTTGCCCTGTTGACCCTGACATGCCTTGGTACTGACTGTCTAGGAGATTTTGCCTTAGTCATTTTGCATATTGGTGCCAAACCTCTTTGCTCAAGACGGACATGGTGTAAGCACATGTAAGCACAGCATTTGCACTCCACTGCAGTGCAATTCACTTCAACAGGAAACCTTGGCATGGCAAGCAACAGCCATATTCCATGACAAGCAAAGGATTGAAGGAATACCTGAAGCATCCTAAAGCCCAACGCGTTCTGCTTGACAGCGCAAAGAACTCGCTGTACAATGTCGATTTCTGTAGATGTTCCTGCCGCCGGTGCCTTCGAAATCCCTTTGACTGCTTCGAGCACTGCGGCTGACGTGATATTGCTTCTCCGTGAGCGTTTGCCAGACTGTCCATGGCATGGCAACAAGATGCTTTCCTATGGAGTTTGCCAGCTGCAGTGCAATGACTCTGTTCAGGCGGCCAACCACAGCACTTTGGTCTTCACAAACTATTCGGAGATCAGCAACAAGGAGACATGCATGCGACATGTTCCATCATGTTCAGCACAAGGATACACTTAGAATAATTCGAGAAGTGGCACAGATCCTTGAGAAACTATGGGAAACTAAAGACCGAAAAATGACAAGGACACCAGCATGGAGAAATCTAAGGCTTATGTGTTGTTAAAGCAATGAAGTTACCTTCTGGAGTATACAATCATGACTGTTTTTCGAAGTCCAATCTCTTCACATCGTCTTTGTTGGTTGCTTCCCTCACATTGAAGGAGGCCTGCTCCATCCCAGACACGGCCGAGCGCGGAATCACTCGAGAGCAATTGGTGAAAGTGGTTCGTTTCGTCTCGAAGATGGCTGACAGATGTTGCGAAACCTTTGGGGAAGATCATGGGACAAAGCTGAAGTTTGAAGACTTCAACTTATATCATGCTGATTATTGGCTCATAAAGCCAGCCACCCAAGGCTATCAGGACAAGGGATGCAGTTTGGTGGAGGTTATGGCAGTAGAAGCTCAGAGACCTCATTGGTTTGTGTCCCACGCCTGGATTGAGCCTTAGCTCAAAAAAGAGCTTTTTCTGCGGTATACCTAAAAAGTCCTTGTTTGGTGAACGGATGTAAATGGAAAAAGTGTTACACAAACCTTTGGGGTGGAATATTGATGAATATCGTGGCATACTTTTTAAATTTTATGGAGCCAAACCCCAATATCCAAAGATCTTGGTTTCGCTTAGTCTTGATCAGTCAGGAACCAATTTGTAAATTCCTGGCCTGCTTGGAGCAGCATGCTTTGGTGCGAGAACTCTTGAGCAGCACCTCTTATTGGGTGTGTGCATATGCCAACAATCAGCATTGCGTGGAAGAGGATATCACAAGCAACCCTCGCAGCACATCCTTTTACCGAGCCATGCAGATGTCTCAGGGAGTTCTGTTGGTGCTTGATTTCAGGTTCTGCTTTGAGTTGTGAATGTGGATTGCGGTCTCCTGATCGAGAACATCTCACTTTTCACTGCCAAGCGCAGCCATGGGATGGTGAGTTCAGGAGCGCTACTGAACGTCGTTTGCTGGTTCCACTTGTGGATGCTCCTCCTGTGTTGCCTTTTTCCAACATGGTAGCAGATCCTGCTTTGGTTACTTTTATTCAGCAATTCGATCCTCTTCAGCGACCCACCTTGGGCTTGGACGGCAGTTGTATCATAGCTACTTCCTGTGATCGATGGCAAAGAGCTAGCTGGGCGGTTTCGACACTTTCAGGCACCACTGTTCAAGGTGCCGTGACTGGTTTTGAGCAAACACCTGCTGCAGGTGAGCGTGCTGCTCTTCTGCAAGCTTGTTTAGCCTCTTCTGCAGCTAACAGACCGGTGATGCTCTTGATTGACAATCAGGCTTTGGTGCGGCGGCTTCAGCGAGGCATTAGCACTGGCCGTTGGGAGGGTGACTTGCCGCTTTTCTGGCAGCGGATCAGCGGCTTATTGATTCAGGGCACTGTTTGCACTTGGATCCCTTCTCACAACAAGGTGCCTGACTGGACACCACCAGATGGTTGGATTGATGTTCATCTCTGCCGCGTTCTCAATGCGACAGCCGATGCTCAGGCAGGTGAGGTGTTGCGTGACTCACGCTCCATGATCGCTGCGGCTGTGCAGCGACATCAGCGAGCCGTGGCTTGGGCTGCAGCAGTTTGGCGTCTGCAGAGGCTACGGACTTTACCTTTTTGGCAAGTCGTACTTGATCAACAAACATTCCTTGCGGAATGCTAGCTGGCGCACTGTGTTTACTTCTTTTTTTCAGGCAGGTTTCGCTTCCTTTGAGTTTTGCTTGGAGAAGTATGGGAACTTGATTCTCGCAGATGGCATACTATGGCGTCTTAACTACTTCACTTCGGTGAGGAGCAGGTTGACGTCCGCTTACAACAACAACAACGAACAGCTATCTGGACAACCTCCGCGCGGTGGCTGCGGGTCTATGCATTGCTGATGGGCCTTGGCAGTGCTTAGAAACGAATTGTTCAGATGTGGTGCTTGCAAGTTTCGATTTGCTTCAGAAGATTTGGGCTGTGTCTTCAAAAGAGCGGAATGCATTGATGCATGCCATGCATGGCAATGGTGCAGGAAGCAGAGCAACAGCTCGCAAAAGGAAACAGAAACAAAGCAATAACCAAGCAAATGGCTTCAGTTTGCAACAAGCAGGTGAGATTCTCAAACTACTCTCTCAGCTTTTCCAATTGTTGGGACTCGGGGGTGGCGGTGGGAATTTGCTTCAACAGCTCAGTGCTATGATGGGCCATGGCGGGTGTGCCAAACCCAAGAAGACTAAGAACAAGAACAAAAATAAACAGGGCGGTGATGGTGGTCTGGGGGATTACGGCCAAGGGGGTGGTTTTTACCCTTCTTCTCCTCCTACTCAGCCCCCGCAGAATACTTCGAAACCACATCCTAAGCAAAAGGCGGACGTCCAAAAACAGCCACACACAGAGCAGCAGCCCCACAAAACGCCCAAGACCTTTGCTGAAGTGGTTCGAGCCAACACTGCGTTTAAGCCGGTGTGGAGCCTGCGTCAGTCAGACTGGACGGGGCCCATTTTGGGCTTTGATGACTTTAGTGTCGCACTGGATAAGCCTGGAAATATTTCAGCTACAGTGCAAGTGAACTCGGAAGAGCAACTTGAGGAGTTGCAGGTTTTGCTGAAAGGCGATTCCCCTGATATCAAAAGAGAGCTCAACATCACAGCTGTGATGCTAGCGCCGAAAGAGGCCAAGCAGACTGAGGAGGATCGACCTTTGCGGATGGTGCCAGGAAAGATTTCGGGCAAGGTGCAGCCCAGGCAGGCGTTTGTGATCCCACTTCAAGGCCAAGGGCCATCACTCAAGAGAGCTGCCGTTGTGTCAGCGGCTCCTGCAGTGCAGCCTGAAACTGTTGTAGTGAGATTAAGTGTTGATGCAAAATATTTGCAAAACAACGAGTGGCAGAGCATCCAGGCCAAGCCAAAGGCAAACGCGCAGGCTTGGTTGCATCGGCATGTTCCAGAGCATGTTGCGGACAAAGTCTTTGATATGTGGGCGTTTCAGCAAGAAAGCATGAAAGGCGGAGGCAAGCCAGTGATCACTGGCCTTTTACGCATTGAGCGAAGTGCTGCCAAAGCTCTTCTAGGCTGCTCAGGCAAAAGTACCTGGTTTGTGGAGCCTTTGCAATGGAACAACTCCGTGATTGAATCTTGCGATGTTGAGTGGGTCAAGAAAAGTTCGGAACTTGATGGGCCCAGCTACTTGCAGAAGGTTCAGTCCATGGCTGGTGACCTGGGCATTGCCCGGGGATGGAATGGACTGGGAGTACGTAAGCCCAGGAGCGCCGAGCCTCCTCCTAAGGCCAGAGCTTGGCGCGTCACTGGTGTTCCGCGAGATTGGGCGGCTAGTACCTTGACTCAGGAACTTACACGTGCTGGCCTGACTGAACTCAAGGTGTTGTCCCGGAAAACTGTGGGCAAACAAGTGGAATGGTGGGTGCAGGCCAATGCTCAAAAGGATATGGATTTCATTGAAATTCAGGCTGGCGAAAAAGTCATTGTAGCTGTTGAAGCTCCAAGACAAAGACGGCAGAGAACACATACCATGAAACTGGCTAGCAATGGAAGGGTCAGTTATAACCAGAGCCATGCATGGCAGGCGATTGCCACGCCTGCTCCTCGCAAATCTTTCTACATGGGAACGCCAGTCAAAAAGCCAGTGACTATTGCAGGGGCTGAGAAGGTTCCTGCTGAGAATTTGGACGAGGACAAGTCGGACGCAAAGATGGACAATGCTGGAGAACCCGCTGGGGCAAAAAGAACTGTCAGCACTCCTGAAAAGAGTCCTCCGGCCAAGCGTGTTGCGGGGGAACCCAAGCCCCCTCACAATATGAAGGTGAAAAGCATCCCTGCTGACGGCAACTGTCTTTTTGAAGCCCTTGCTCAAAGTTTGGGCGGAAAAACAGCCAGCAATGTGCGTGCAAGCGTTGTCACCCACCTGACCAAGCACCAGGGTCGTTACAAGCCCTGGTGGGACGGCAAGGAGCCAACAGAGGCGGAGAATGCTTGCGAATCATGGGAGAGCTATCTCACCATGCTCTCAAAGATTGGTGCTTGGGGCAGTGCTCTTGAAGTTTCTGCTGCGGCTGTGCACTACGATCGCCCGATCATTGTCTTCCAGCCTCGTGGTGTTCCGGAGATTTACAATGGTCGTGGCAAGGGTGGTGCTCCTATCGCTTTGTGGTTTCGTTCAAAGCACTATGAACGACTTGAAGGTGCTTTCCCGCCTGAAGTTTTGACTCAGGCCGCAAATGGTCCAATGCAGGGCAACAGAGGTGGAGGATCGGAATGTGGCGCTACTTCAGTTGGTGCCACCAGATTGTCAGCTTTGCCGTCACTGGTTCATAGCAACAAGAAACGTGGAAGGTGTGCTAGCCCCGCGCCCGCCTCTACTTTGTCAGAGCAGCGCAAGAATTCTTCTTCCCCTGCGGCTGCTACTTCGGGTCGGGGTCCGTGCACGCCACGTGCAGCCAGTGAAGGACAAGACGCAGCCAGTGCTTCGTCCAGACGCACTAAGCGTACTGAGTGGACATGCCCTTTGTGTGACTTTTCCACTGGGGTGTGCAAAGGATGGGTTGACAAGAAGAGAGCTCATATCAATGCTTGGCATCCCGATGAGAAGGAACAGTTGAAAATCGGCTTCAAAAACACTTTGCCTGCGCTGTCTGCAGTCAAGAAGGGAGGAGTCTATAGCTGGAAGTGTCCTGTTTGCAAACTTGGCTTGTCCGCTGATCACAACCTCAAACCTGGCCAAGTGTACAGCGTCATCCGCAAGCATAGGGAAGACAAACATCCTCAGGCAGATGCCAAGCTCTTCCACAAGGACAGCAGCTTCAGACGGGAGAATGCTAGCAAAGCCACGCGCCAGGTGCGTGCAGCTGCAGTGGCTCGAAGGTTGCTTGGCTTCAAGCGTGGCGATGCTGGAGCACATGACCCCACTTTCGTTACCATTCCAGCCACAGGAAATGGCAAACAGAAAAGAGTTGGAATGTCTTACGTCATTTGCAAAACTTGTGGCAGTATGGCTTTGACAGCGAAGCGTTTGGCAAAGATTGCTTGTGAACAGTATGCTTCCAGCAAAGGGCCCGAACGAAAGCAGTTGGTGGAAAGATTGCGTGCGTGCCTCAAAAATGCAGACATCAGCGATGACCTCAAGAAGGGTGCCCGCACAGTTTTGGAAATCATCGACTCTGGAGCAGTTCGCAACACTGATACTGCAGCAGACAGCACGCATCAGATTGAGGCCATTGTGTGGCCTGCCAATTTTACGGTGCGGTTTGCTTGTGTGCATTGCAAGCGTTGTGTCAACAACATCGGACGGCTCACAGGAAGTCAGTGTCCTCGTAAAATGGTTTGGACTAAGTTTCGAAAGGGCCAGAGGGATATTTTGGTGCCTCTTGCGGCTCAGGCTCCAAGTGCCAGACAGCGAGCTGCTTCGCGAGCTTTGGACATTTTGGGATTGCAGCAGGATGGCGCTGTGGATCAGAACCCATGACGG